AATCAACAAAGTAGGAAACAAACAATAGAGAAACCAGTGAAGCCAGGCATGGGGAGCAGGCCTATAATCGCAGCACTCTGGGAGGCTGAGGCAGGAGGATACCAAATTCAGGCTCCCCCTAGGCAATTTGGTGAATTGGTGAGACTTTGTCTCAAAATAAAAAAAATAAATAAATAGAAGGCCGGGGATGTAGTTCAGTGTGAAGGCCTGGTGTTTAATTCTAGTACCGACGGTGGGAGGGGGCAGGGGAGAAAGGTGGTGGGCGTGGTGTGCACGCCTGCAATCCAGCCTTTGAAGGCTGAGGCAGGAAGATTGCTACAAGTTCGAGGGTAACCTGGGCTACACAGTGAGTTCAAGGCAACCTGAACTTCACAGGGAAGCCCTGTCTCAAAAAAAGAAAAGAAAAAGAAGAAGGAAAGAAACAAAGAAAGAAAGAAGGAAGAAAAAAGGAGAGGAGGAAAGGAAGGGAATAAAAACCCAATGAACCTCACAGCTGACTCTTTGAAAAAATAAGTCAGCATCATGTATGAGGCTTAGGCAGATGAGTTCTAAAAGTCACCTAACGATGCCTCGGAACAGACTGCCAGGCTGAGAGCCACAGGCCAGACTGGTAACCTGAAGGGGGGCTCCCACTAAAAGCCTACAGACCGAGAAGGACAAGGGCACATTTCCACCCCATCACCTGACGAAGTCCCGGGAGAAAGCCAAGATGAAATGGACAAGCCCGAGGCCCTTCTATTGCTCCTTTGTTGGGAGGCTGAATTATAAGTTGATGCTGAATTCTGTCTGGTGAAAGTCCTCAGGACTACGGCCATCAGTCAGGTCTCAGGACAGGCACGTGTGTAGGGACCAGATGTCGGCCAGAAAACTCACGCAGGGTCAGTTCCGGAGAAAGGGCCAGCAGGATGGAGCCGCAAAGGGACAGAAAACCAGAGTGCTCTTTCCTATTAAAAAACTAATCTCACAATGAAAACCTTTCCTGAGAAAACCTTTCAGCACAGACAGGTGCCCTGGTGAATTCTATCAAACATGTGAAGCAGAAAGGACGCCAACCCTGGCCCAGCTTCCTAGGAAAGGGAAGAGGAGGAACCACTTCCCCGCTGACCCTGTGAGGCCTTAACAGCAAAACCAGATGAACTCAGTTTAGGAAAACTGAGGACCAGCAGCTCTCGTGAATGCTGATGTAAAAATGCTTGTAAATTGAACCTGAAATGAAAAACAGGATGTGCCAGAGTCACATGGAGTTTATACTGGGGATGCAAGGTTAGGGTTTTAAAATCAGCTGGAGTAATTCTCTCCTAACAGAAGGGAGGAGAAAAGCCAGGGTCATGGAGGGTTGGGGGAGAAAAGCATTTGACGGAATTCAGCAGCAACTTAAATTTAAGGCTCTCAACAAACTGGAAGTAGGAACAAACAAACAAAACCCCTCAACCAGGGCCGGGGCTTTAGCTCAGTGGTTCCGCCGCCTGCCTTGCAAATGCAAGGACTCAAGTTCAATCACCGGTACCAAAGGAAAAAAAAAAACCCTCAACTTGACAAAAGGCCACTACAAAAGAGCTACGGCTAACGCCATCCCGGTGGTGACCACGGTCACAGATCTCCCCTCAGATTCCCACCTTCGATCCCAGCTCTCTCAGGCTGGAGGCCTCGCTAGTATAGCAGGGCAAGAACCAGGGCTAAAAGGTACAAAAGGCATCCAGACTGAGGCGGGAGAAACAGCACTCCCTTTGCAGAGGGGGAAAACTGGCAACAGAGTGACAGGAAATCTGTGAAAAGGTAGCAGACCTGAGTCTAATAAGATCAGTACGAAAGCTGACTATTTCCATAAGCTAAAAAGACATATTTTCATAAGCTAAAAGACACTGGAAACTGAAACTGGAAGTGTGTGTGTGTCTGTGTCTGTGTGTGTGTGTGTGTGTGTGTGTGTGCGTGCATGCCTGTGTTGCTGGGGTCTAGATCCTCACGCATGCTAAGGAACTCAGATCTCTCACTGAGCCATCCTCCCAACCTTTGGATTTAAAAAACCCATTATTAATATCATTAAACAATGAAATACTGATGAATTTATCAATATATACTCAAGAACTTTACACTGACAACTAAAACACATTATTGAGAGACATTAAAGGAAGTCCCGATATACACAGTGTTACACCCTATTCACAATGCAGAAGACTCAACATTATTAAGAGGAGAATTCTGCTGGGATTTAGCTCAGTGGTGCCGATGCCTGCCTGGCAAGCATAAGGTCCTGACTTCGATCCCCAGTACCAAAAAAAAATTCTCCCAAACTGTTCTATGTATTCAATGGAATTTTTACCAAAGTTCTAGTAGACTTTTTTTTTTTGGAGGGGCTAGCAATGGACAGACTGGACGAAAGATGTATTTAATTTTTTTTTTTTGTACTGGGGATCGAACTCAGGACCTTGTGCTTGCCAGGCAGGCTCAGTGCCGCTGAGCTACGTCCCCAGCCCTACGGGCCCAAAATGTATTTGCAAATGAAAGCAGGGACATCTTTGAGGGCATGAAAGCAACTAGAGACGGATACTACTTGTCCTCAGGACTTTCTGTCCGTCTACGACCATCAGACAGAGCTGGGTCTCAGGACAGGCACGTGAGTAAAGGCCAGAAAGACTCACGCGTGGTCAGCTGCTGCGGACAGAGGCGCCTGGGACTCAGGGGAAGGATGGCGGGATGGCGCCTCTGCCCTTCCTGCTCCACCTGGCCGGCTGGATGTGGCCGCTTCTTCCCAGGGAAGCGCATGAGGTCAGGGAGGCTGTGGCCGTGCAGCGGGGCGCCCTGGACATCACTCCCGCGGATTCCCTCCACCCGCACCCCGGTGGATGGCGAGGGGGCCTGGGCGAGCCCAGCAGGGGATGGGGCCGAGCTTGCAGACTGACAGTGACCCCAGGCAAGGGGTCCGGGAGGAGTGGGGACAGGGAAGGGCAGCATGGGGCGGAGCTGGGGCAGGGCCAGGGGCAGGGCACTGGGCGAAACCCTGGTGAGATTAAAAAAAAATAAAATACTAGCAATGCGAAAATATCTGCACTTTCTATTAAGTCAAGAGCCTGACAAGCTTTTTATATTGAAAGGTGTTTCTATACTAGAAAAAGCTAAAACTCATATTTTATTCTACCATCTACTGAATTGAGTGCAGAGTTTTCATAAAAAGCGACTCAAACACAAAACAAGTTGAAGCAACTCGTAATGGGGCGTGGGGGTGCACGCCTGTAATCCCAGCACTCTGGGAGGCTGAGGCAGGAGGGCAGCAAGTCAGAGGCCAGCCTGGGCAGCTCAGTGACTCAGCAAGAGCCTGTCTCAAAATCAAATATTAAAAGTAAAAGGGCAGGGGAGGTAGCTCAGTGTAAAGGCCTGAGGTTCAGTCCTCGGTACTGCAAAAAAGATGATAAATAAACAAATTAATTAGCTAAGGGATCTAGTGTTCTCATATGAGCAGTCATTTTACAGATGGGAAGCTGAGGTCCGTTGCCACACACGCCGTCTGCTCCTCTATGGGTTTTAAAATTCTAGTTGGTAACCATGAATCCTCCAACAATTTAAATTAAATTTATTTTTATTTATTTTTGGTACCGGGAATTGAACTCAGGACCTTGCACGTGCGAGGCAGGCAGCGGCACCACTGAGCTAAATCCCCAGCCCTAAATTAAATTTAACAAAGAATAGAAACTTAAAGTTTTGTCTCATGTCATATATAAAAATTAATGGGAAATTGATCGCACAGGCTGGGGTGTAGCTCAGTGCAGGAGGCCCTGGGTGTAACCCCAGCACCAGGAAATAAATGTGCATAAATAAATAACTGAACCATACCAGCAAAACTGCAAAACTGGAGAGAAACACAGACAGCTTCGCAACTAGGGGATAAACTCAGATTTCTTCGATAGAGGCACAAAAGCATGGTATTAAAGAAGGAAACTGATAAAGCAGGACAGATCAAAATGGCAACCTACGGTCATCACAGGCCGCTAATCAGAAAATGAAAGGGAAATGTGTGGAGCAGGGAGTGTTTACAATCTGGGTCCCACAAAGGGTGTGGCTCCTGGGCACACTCACAGCTCAGGAAGAAAGCGGGCAACGTATCCCAGGAGATCTGAGCGGACGCCACACACAGGTAGGTGGCTGATGCGCAGCCGGAAAGGCCAGAAGTACTCAGGGCCACGAGTCACTGGGGTAACACAAACGAAAACCCGCCTCGAGACACCACGCACCCCTCAGGATGGAGAACACAGAAGGGCTGAGGCCACCTGGATGGGAGGGTGGAGGACCCAACCCATGCACTGTGGGGGCCACTCTGGAGCCACTGGTGCTGTTTAAAGGTAAGCATATATGCACGCAGGAGGCTGAGGCAGGAGGATCACTGCAGGTTCGAGGCCAGCCTAGACTACATAGTGAGCTCAAGGCCAGCCTGAACTGTGTAGTGAGACCCTGTCTCAAAAAACAAACCAAACAAAGCAAAAATGTCAAGGATACAGGTAACCACATGACCCAGCTGTTCACTCTTAAGTATCTACCTAAGTGAATGACAATACCCTCCATGCTCCTAGCCACTCTTTACATAAAACGCCCTACTGGCAATGGCTCAAAGCCCATCCACACAGCCAGTGGCCTCACGCTATGGAGTACTCCTTTGGGTGGACGTGGCTGGGGGTCACCATGCTGTGTCTTGGTTCGAGCGGGTACACACATTTTCCAAAACTCACAAGCCCATGCATTTCAAGGTCAGCACATGTCACACCTAAACAAAGGCGATTTCAAACTTCAGAAAGAAATGGAATTCTAACAGAACGACACAGCTGGGGCTGAGCCCGGAGAACCCCTCAAGGCTAAGTCCTGGGGTCCGGGCGGGGACCCAGGCAGTCAAGGCTCAGATGCTGCAGGACGTTAGCCTGTGTCTGGACACTTCGCTAGCAGTGCCATCCCAGGGCGGCTCCAGTGCGCTTCCTTTGCCTTTCACACTGACAGGAGCACAGGGAGGGCCTTACCGGACAGGTGCTTGATGGCCACAGGTCTCACTTTGTACGGCGTGCTGGAAGAGAGAAGAGAGCACCCAGATGAGAGCCGTCCCAGCTGCCAGGGCTGAAGGAGCGCTGGGAGGACTGGAATCAGTGAGTCAGGCCTTCTGCAGCCAGGACAGCCAGGGCCTGCGAGAGCCACACATGCACTCTACCACTGAGCTACCATCCCACTCCTTGCGTTTTTGATTCTTCTTTTGAGACAGGGTCTTGCTATGTCACCCAAGCCAGCCTTGAACTCCTAGAGATCCTCCTGCCTCAGTTTCCTGAGTGCTGAGACTACAGATGTGCACCACTATCCCCAGGTTTCTTCTTCCTTTTTAAAAAAATTACTTTCTCCCGCTGTTCTAAACTTCCAGGAATGAGTTCCGAATGTTCTAACTATGTGAACTTCCTCTCCAACGTTCACATTTGCTCAGCGACACAGATTTTGTCATAAGCGTCCTGCCCCTCAGGACCCTGACACGACAGTCACCTCCACTGAGCCGCGTACTTCACCGGGAACAGCAGGGTACAGCTGCCATGGTGGCCCGGCACGAGATGACCCACACTTCCCTGAGACGGTGACCTGGTCACCATGCCATACCGCGGGACCAGCAGGTGGGGCTCAGAGAGCTGAAGGGGTTCAAATGAGGTCATGGGGGGCCCACAGTGGGGTTCATGTCCTCACGGGTGACGAGGAACCAGGTCTCTGTCTGGCCCTCTACCTCTGCCATGCGCGGAGGACAGAGAGAAGAAGGCTCTGTAACCAGGAGGGGCCTCAGAACGGACCACGTGGCCCCTAGTCTTGACCGTGGCCCCAGAGGCGGCAAGACAGCACTTGCTGCTGAAGCCGTGTATGCTCTTTCTGTTACACCAGAGATTTTCGGGTGCAAACAAAGACAAGCCAGGCATGGTGGCTCACGCCTATAATCCCAGCACTCCAGGAGGCTGAGGTAGGAGGATCGAAAGTTCAAGCCCAGCCTGGGGAATTCTTCAAAATCTTATCTCAAAATAAAAAATAAAAAAGGGCTGGGGATGTAGCTCAGTGTGAAGAGCCTGCGCTCAGTCTCCAGTACTGCAAAAATAAGAAGAGGGAGAAGAAGTGCAGGTTCGAGCCTTGCCTGTTACTGGGTAGACCAACGAGTTACTGTCTCACACAGAGAATGAGCTCGTGTCTGGAAAGGAAACTGCAGAAAATATGGAGGGATCCACACAGCACACTGAGCAGCCACCACCGCGGTGACACCAGGGTTCACGGTCACAGGCGACAGGGAAAACGCGTCGTTTTTAATGCCCACAAAGTATAAAAACAGGACCGCGCTGCCTGGGAGGGCAGACACACACCTGGCTGTCACCCTCAGCTCTGGCTCCCACTGTGGTTCCTGTCCTCAGGGACATCAGAAGTGAGTTCACACCTGTTCACACCAGTCTCTCACCAGAAACCGAGGTGGGGGAGGTGGGTGCCATGTGCCCCGGTGGGCCGCTGGGGCCCTGCGGTGCTGCGTGTGAGAGGCACCAGGTGTGATGGCCGGGAGACCCTGGCTCCCCGTTGTGCCAACCAGAAACGCAACCAGACACTTCTTAGTGTCCCCAGGGACGCCACCACTGCCGGGATACCATTTGTTCCCGACATCTGGGCTCCAGGGCTTCTGTCTGGTGCTTCTCACACTTTCCCTGGTTGTTAAGGGGCCACCAGGCTGGAGAGGTCACAGGCCACCGAGCTGGGAAGATGCGGCTGCACCCAGAGGCCCTGCTCACAGCGACAAGGCCTGGCTTGGGGTCCTGGGTGTCGGGAGGGGTCACTCAGTGTGGTCCCTCTTGCCGGGGATCTGGGTCAGGCAGGCCAGGCCGAGATGCATGTGGCTCTCACTGGAGCCTTTGGGGGCCAGTTAGCAGTGCGGCTTTGGGAGTCCAGGAGTGGGAATCAGGCCGAGAGGGAGGGGCCTGCCCGGGAGCAGGCGGGCCGAGGCCTCCTGCCAGGGACAGGGTTGCCACGCCCACCAGGGCCTCGCTGACCGGGCCCACACTGGCCATGCCCATGGGACTCTTCTGACCGGGGTGGCAGACTTCTAAGGGAAGGAGGGAGAAGGCGCCTGTGCCTGGGCTGGGGGAGCCCTGGGTGCCCAGCTGGGGCCTGGGCCCGCCCTTCAGTGGAGCCCAACTCCCCAGCGCCGCCCCGAGCAGCCATGTGTGGGTCGGCCTGGGCTCAGGGCTGCCGTGGGTCCCCCGGGCAGGTCACCCTAAGGAGCAGCTCGATGGGGGCCCCACAGCCCGCCTGGAGCGCTTGGGGGCAGCAGGGGAGAGCAGGGTCTCTCCGTCCTCACTGCAGTGTGGCCTGCAGCTCCATGGGCACTTTCCAAGCCACTGGCGGTGACGGGTGGGCCCACAGCTCTATGTCCTCCCTTGGGCAGCCCCAGTGGCCTCCCCCACTCTGCAGACTTCTGTGTGGCCCTCCCCTGCTGCCCCCACTGCCCTGTTCCGACTCTGGGTGCCCTTCCTTTCCCACTCTGTGCCCAGGATGCCCCGTCGGGCCCCATGTGGATAGAGATGCTTGGTGCTCCTGAGTGCTCCGGTTGGGGCATCTCCTGCAGCCAAGGTCCCAGGGACTGGCTCTACTGCTTCTGCCCCAGCCCACATGACTCAGTTTCCCCATCTGCACACTGCCTCCTCACAGGGCTTCTGTTGAGAACAGCATGTGGATTCATGCAAAGGAATCAGGGAATCCCGCCTCCTTCCTACCCTCTTCCACCTTCCCCTGTTATCCCTGGTTTTATTTATTTTTGAGACAGTTCAGGGTAGCCTTAACTCACTATGTAGCCCAGGGTGGATTCGAACTTGGGGCAACCCTCCTGCCTCAGTCTCTTGAGTGCTGGGATGATAGGCTTGTGCCACCATCTCTGCTTCCAACGCAGACTTCCGTGCAGTAACGCACTGTGTGACCCAGAGGCGTCGGACTCTGCTCAAGAAGCCTGGCCTCTTACCGTTCTGAATTCGCGGGCATGGTGGGGTCAATGGAGACCATGGCGTCGTCTGTGGTCAGGAGGGAGATGGTCGTGTTCCTGAAAGACACGCTCACATCAGCGAGTCCCCAGGTGCACACTTGCACACGGGCTCACACGAGTCGGGAGCCCTAGAAGAAGCAGGGTTCGAGCAGGAGGGGCCCCAGTCCTGCATTGCAAATGGAGCTCACTGCCCCAGTTAGCTGAGTGCCCTGCTGAGGGCCTGTGGGATTTTAACTAATTTAACATGGCGGCCAGAGCAAGTCTGATGGGTGGAGCTGGAAAGATTTAACAAAACCCAGGTGCGCTGAAAACCCACACTGGGACCAGCAGAGGGCAATCTGCAGCTCGCCTTTCGACCCCAGGTCCTCGGGGAGCCCTCTAAGCTGGCAGACAGCTCCCCAAATGGTTTTACATGGGCAAGGTGAGTCTCCCGCCTCGCATGCCCCGGGGCCTCTTACGAGCTTGTTACTGAGGCTCTCTCATCTGCACTGCGAAGTTCTAAAATCCGTGCAGTGGAGGTGAAGCCTGAACCCAGGAGTTGTTATAAAAAACAGTAATCTTTGTGTATTTTGTGGCACCATGTGTTGTATAGGATGCCCCAAACTGCAGGCTAGTTTTGCTGCCGTAAACTGCCCTTTACTATGATTCCAGGTGCATGGCTTCATCCGGGCCCCCTTTTCTTACCTGCCTGGGAGAAACTTCTACTGCCCCTCCCTGGCCCTCATCTTGGAGCTAATTCCCACACTGCTCCTGCTCAGCCTTTATGGTGGCAAAGGCAGAGCAGGACCACAGGGTGGGACCCCTTCTCCAAAGTGCTCCCGCCCGAGGTGTCTCAGAGTTCGTGCTTCCTTGCAGGTGGGGATACTCCATATGCGTAATTAGAGACCCTGGAGAGGACCTCGTCCAAACAGGAAACCTGTCTTTTCATAGAGTTCATACAGCATTTGTAGCGCACCTTCGTTTGACTCTGCCCCGGGCCATGAGGCCAGGTGTGGCATTTCCCACTGGCGTCAGAACAGTGTTTGAAATGCTGGGGTTTGGGAGATTTCTGGATTTCAGCTTTTTGGTGTAGGGATGCTCAAGCCATACTGGAAAATTTCCAGGCTTGTACATACCTGGTTGAGCAAAGGAACTCCTCTGTGAGACAGATGCTTGGTGCTACGACTTGTGTCTGAGTCTTGGGCCACGGGTGGGGTGGTAACAAGGCCATGAGATAGAAAAAGAGACCAAACCCAGACACAGCCGGCTTCCTTTCTCCAAAGCCAGTGCATTAGTGAAGGAAACCCCCGACTCTGAAGGGGGCGCATCTGCTGAATCCAGCCCAGTGACCAGCTCCCGTGGGCTTGGTTCCCTGACTGGAAAGCCCAGGGCCTCACGCCCCATCCTCACCCACACCCTGTCTTCCCCAGGTCCTCCTTGGAGCCCAGCATGTGGCACCCACCTCGGCAGGCCCGTGGCGATGCAGAAGAGGTCCATGATATCGCTGGAGTTGCAGTACTTGCTGAAAACCACCTACAAAAGAGAAGTCACAGGCGGTGAGGCACGAGGGGGCAACTGGTTTCCATGGAGATGTCAGATTCCACGTGCTTCCGCTCTGAGTTGGACTCGAAGGTTTATTTCACAAAGGAAAACCATAACCACAGGCCCTGGCATGTCACAGGCACATCTTATTTAGCCGGGCTGTGGAAAGCTTGGTTCTTTGTCCAGTGAAAAGAAAGGGTCATGAGAGACACAGTGGTCACCCACATCTGCACACCCGTGGGCTACCTCGGCAGCCTGTGGCATAAAGTTGCCAGCGGGCGGGACTGAGCAACGCGTTGGTGCAGTCTAGTTATATCACGGAGCCGTTATGTGAAAAAGGAAATTGAAGTTTGATGACTTAAAAAAAGACTGGCTTTGTATTTGGAGACTGAAGCTCAATGATTCAATCAAAGGGGTCAAAATGGCGGGGACCACGTGGGTCACAGTGTCACACCACCTCCTGACCAGTGAGGCTGCGACAAGAGAGAAACCCCGGGCCACATCGGCATCTCCTGCCTAGGGGACCCCCGCTGTGAGGGAGGAGGGCCCCCTGTGCCGCCAGACCCCTATCCACGGTCTCACCCCTGGAATTCACTCACCCTCGGTCACCCGGGGCCCGAAATAATTAGGTGGAAAACCCCAGAAATAAGCAGTTTGTAAATTCAAAGCCATGGGTGGTGAAATCTCTAGTCCCCTGGCTCTGAGTCAACTCTTCGTCCAGGGGACCCCACTCAAGAGTCACTTGGCAGCCGCCCCAGTGGTCAGATCCTCGAGGGGCTCCTGTTCAGGCGACCCTTGCCTTAATGTCCTGACTCTTCTATTGTATGGCCAGTTACTGTTGCTCAGCATTTATCGTGACTAATTCACAAATTAATCATAGCTCTGTGCCATGTACCAGAAGAAGGGAGTACACACAGAGCATGCTCCATGCAGCCACCCTCTGGTGGTCTTGGAATGAACCCTCAATGGCTAAGGGGCTCCTGTTCGCCAAGGGGGTCTGCAAGGTGCACAGGGCATGGGCGGCTCACACCAAAGCCCTGTGTTCCTCAAGAAAGATGTTGCCCCAGGACACGGTGCCCGGCTCCCTCAGTGAACGCCCTCTTCGCCACTTCACCAGCAGCGAGGGCACAAAAGCAGCCGTGTGGCTCTCCCTTGAGGGTCTTGTCCCTTGTGCCTCTGCCCTCTCCTCAACGTCAGCAGCATCTCGGTCCAAGCTCACTGTCCTGGCCTGGCCCTGGCTTGTCTAGACTGCTGCAGTGGCCTCCTCCCCAGTCCATTCCGGTCTCCCCTGTGCCTGTCCCTCTTTGTAGAGCCTATGCTGGCTTCCTGCACCCACAGAGGCGGCCACCTCCTTGCCCGGCACCTGAGGTCCTTGGGTCTGTCCCATGGTGCCCCGCCTCATCCTGACCCATGGCCACCCCAGTATGGCCTTTGTGCCCCCCTGGCTGAGGGGTCTTAGGTCCGGGCCAGGCACCCTGAGGTGGGGTGGACTCTGACTTTGCACTTGGACCTCTGAGCGGCTCTGCTGGGGTGTGGGCTTCCTGGGCTGAGAGCTGCAGGGAGGAAGGCAGGAAGGCACCCCTCTTCAGACTGCTCTTCTGGGGGAAGGGAGGAAAAGCACTGATTGTGGACCCCAGCTTGGGGGTCCCCTGCAGTGGGCCTGGGCAGGGCCCCAAGCATCTGCATGTTATTATTTCAGGCTCCCTGGATTAAGGGCAGCAGCTCAACCATGTGTTCCCAAGGGTTGCTCCACTCCAAGAGGGGGCCCTGTGTGGCCTCAGCCATTGGCTCCTTTTTAAAGGACCCCTACACGTGCACGAGGGTGCCGTGAAGCCAGGGGCTGGCCCAGCCCCCCAGCCACACAGGCTGAGCGTGAGGTCCCCTGAGCAGACCGGCGCCCACAATGGACCTCCTGGGGTGCCTGCAGGAAGCAGGGGCCGGCAGCACCTCGAGAGGTGAAGGCCGAGGACAGTCTCCTCTGTGTGTCCTCACCAGGAGGGATGATGGAGGCCGGCACAGGCACATGGCCAGGCTCTCCTGCTGCAGCACCGGGGGCCGAGCGTGGGAGCTGCGCCGCCCGGTGGGGGGTCCCCGACTCTGCCACCAGCCCCTGCAACTCAGGGCAAGCTCCGTGGCCTCTTTGTGCCCCGACTCTTACGTTCTGTAAAATGAGCCCGAATGAGGGCAGCTGGCATCTCCAGACGGCCTGGCTCAGCTCTGACACTGGCTGAGGGCTCTGGCTCAGGGGCCGGGTTTCTGTGACCCAGTGGGAGCAGGTCAGGGTACTACAGAAAAGGGCTGCACTGGGCACCCCAAACCACCAGCACCCCGAGAAGCAAGCACCCTGCCCCCAGACCTGAGGGGCTACTCTGGATTTCCACAACCCTTTGTTGCTGAGAAACAGAAGATGGTGAGACAGCTCCCCCAGCCCAAGCCATCTCAGAGCACCCGGTGGGTGACACGGGACCCTCTCTCTCTCCAGCCTGGCTCACCTGGCGCTGTGAGGAATCCCCGGCTCCTTCTTTCTGAGCAACCCACAGCCCTTAGCAACCTGGTAAATTTGTTGCCAACTGCAATGAAGCATTTAGAAACGACACCTGGTTTTCACGGTCAGCGCTCCCTCCTCCACACCTCCAGGAACTTGCGAAATGGTCTTCCACTTTCCCTGGCAATGGGGTTAACTGCAAGGGCTCTGACCTCCACTGTGCAGGGGGAAACCAGGAGCCTCCTGCAGGGGACGCTGTGCCAGGGGACCGGATCCCCAGGTGACTTTGCAAAACTGATCTGCTCAGGGTGAGCAGACATGCAGGAGAAAGGATGTTTCGGCTGTCTTTGGCTTCCTAGCCTCAGGGTGGCGAATAATGGAGGCTTTTTAAAGTCCAGTTGTGAAATCGTCCAGCAAAGCAAACCCAAAAAGGTCACATGGTACTGGACTCTTGATGCCTAAAACAAACAACCCCGACAAACTCGGAGAGTCAGCTTCATCTGCGAAAAGAATCACCTGTCTTTAAGCTTACTGTGGACAAAATGCAGGGAGGCTAACAGAAATCTGGAGGGAGCAAGGAAGACTGCATTGAGTGTCTGCACCAGAAAATAATCCTGACTCCATTGGCGAGTCGGTCATGACATTCCTCTACTCCATATGCTCAGTGTGACTGAAACATACAGTGCATGTTTAAATAAAAAATGATTATGGTAACAGGTGAGTCGCCATGAATTCCCCTCAAAATCCTCCCCTCCCTTTGAACACACTCGTCCCATCTTTCTTGTACTTTCTGAAGCAGCTCTGGAAGTCTTTTCCTGAGTGTCTCCATGAAGTATGATAAAAACACAGCGACTGCTGCTGCCCAGCGCCATCCAGCAGAAAGGCAGCTCGTAAAAACATGGCGCGGTGTCCTCATCCACTTTAGTCACCGGAGCTGGCACCATATGACTTCTGGCTCTTCCCCAAAGGCAAAATGGCCACGAAAGGGAAACATTTTGAATCCTCTCAGGCCCCTATTGTGGCAGCCAGGACAGCACAATTAAAGATACTCAGGAAAGAGGGCTCCAGAACTGCCGCAGGAAGTGGCCAGTTTATGGGATGAGCATATTTGATGTGAGAGGTAGGATTTTGAGATAGGTTATGACAATGTGTCTTTTACTGTAATACATTTTTAAAAAATGTAAACATGTCCTGATTTTTTGATCACACCATGTACATGTACAGTTCTCTGACTTTCCTTGAAGCGACTGTGGTCGGAGGTAGAGAAAGCTCTCTGCGCTGTGGCCATTTTATGTCTGTGTGAGCCTCTCAGCTGCACCTGTGCGATTATCATCAGCCCTCGGCAAGACCAGACTGGGAGAGCAGAGTGGAAAATGTCCTGAGCCCCAGGGGACCCGCATTACTGGTGGGGGCAACCAGCCCAGCTGCAGCTCGAGGACATGGAGGATCCAGGAATCCCTGCCTTCACGTGGAATAACTTTGAAATTTCTTTCTCTTTTATCCAGAAACACAGAGAACCCCCCCCCCCAATTTGCTGGGTGTGATAGCACAGACCTATAATCCCGGCACTCAGGAGGCTGAGGCGAGAGGATCACTGAGTTCAAGGCCAGCCTATTAAGTAACTGTCAAGTACTGTTAAGTAACCCTGTCTCAGAAAATAAGTAAAGCAAAACAAATTAATGAAATGAAATTTAATCTTGAGGGGTGGATGCAGCCAAATTTGAGGAAAAGGAGAGGTTTTATGCTACCACCCAGCTTGGAGCAGAGCAAGGAGGGGCTGGTCAGCAAGCCTAGAAGATCAGCCCAAAGCCGTTCATGCAGCTTGACTGGAAGCATCATGATATTAAAACAAGACAAGAGAAACAAGTGAGGAGACAGAGCACTGCCCTACGGCCCGATGCCCGTCCTGGGTGGAGACTGTGTGTGTCTGTGAGCACACCTGGAGGAGAGGCACTGATCCGTGCTGGATCACATGCTGAGCGCCATCCGAGGGCAGTGACACAAGGAAACTGAGGCACACAGAGATGTCTGAGCGCCTACCAGCCCAGGGATCAGGATCGCACCTCAGCTGGGCCATCGGCTGTGCATCTTCGGCCCCATGGCCCCATGTCCAGCCTCCTCCTAAAGTGGTGCTAAGGACATAGCAGTGCCTTTGAGACCACAGTTCTGTCCTTCATCATCACTCCCGTGCCCTGGTTTCCTCTGCACACTGTGGGTAAGCCTGTAAGCAGGGGAGCCTCAGTTTACCACTCTGTGAACCGGCCAATAGCATCAGTGGCCATCTGCCTCTGGAGAGCAGCACATGCAGGAACACACCTGGAAAGAATTACTCAAAACACATCCCAGCGGCTGGATCAGTCAGCTTTCCCATGGCTGGGACACAACTCTCACCATACACAACTTAAAGGAGAGCTGGCTCATGATTTCAGAGAGGTCAGTCCTCAGTCCGCTGAGGCAGGAACACCACAGCGGAAGGGCTTTGCAGAGCAAAGCTGCTCACATCATG